GGGAGGGGAGGGAGAGGGGGAGTGAGAGAAACTTGAGCTCAGCTCTAAGTTTACTCTTTTCAAGAAAGAAACTATAAAGTGTTGCCTGGCTCTTCAGCTTAGCAAATGGTGTTTTTGGTGGAATTTCTACTGCTACCTTATTGAAGTATTTTTGTAAATCAGCATATCAAAAGTAGCCGGGCATGGTGGCACACGCCTGTAATCCCAGCACTCGGGTGTCTGAGGCAGGAGGATCGCTGTGAGTTCGAGACCAGCCTGGGCTACACAGAGTTCCACATCAGTCTCAACCACATAGTGAGACCCTGTCTCAAAAAAACCAAAAAAAGGAAAAAGAAAAACGAATATCAAGAGTTAAAAAAATGTTATCTCACGCTTCTGGTACTCAAAGAGCTCATCTTTTACAAGGAAGAAGCAAAACCTAGTGTATTGTGTCTGTTTTGCATTTTTCAGTAGCTTGCTCCTGTTGTGATAACCCTAACATGAGTCCCCGGAGACATGAGGAAGGTTTCTGAGCACAGCAAGAACTCACATAGTTTTGCATCAGATCAGGGTGGGTTCTCTCAATGCCGTCGTCCAGGATGGTCACCACGATGTTCTTTCCTGTGTAACCTCTCTTCCAGGCTCCTTCAATATTCATGTCAGATTGGCATGGATGGGTGTTGTCACTGCAGTGCTAAAAAAGGAAAGGGACATTGCAGATAAGGAATAGGAGGAGAGGTAATGCCTTAACAGCAGCTCCACAGGATGTTGCTAGAGGAGCAGCCTGAATCTCCAGTATGGCACCCAGGGAAGATAGGAGGAGATGGGGGAAGGATAGTCCACAGAAATCTACAGCCAGTTGTGACTTGCTCTGATAATATAACTCCTTTGGAAAAAGCATGAAAATAAATGATATCTCAGCAGCAGACTAATGATACACATTTTATTGTTAGCATGTATTAATAAGACTAAAATACTCGTATTGTAGACACCCAAATTAATTAGAAATATTACAGGCATTTAGGCAGGGCTGAGCCCTCCAGGGAATCAGCATGGAAGGCAGTTGTGGCCAGAGGTTCATTCACTGAGGTCTGGGCTTCAAGAAAATGAAGCCCATGTACTTTCCTTCGGGAGGATCAGCAGTGACTGACATTCTAAATAGAGAGCAATCACGTGGATGGGGGATCAAGTTCTTATCCCATCCCTTCCAGGAAAGGTTTCTGACCCATCCCTTCCCTGTATGCTTGTTACCTGACCTGTTTCCCCATTTGATCCTCATTTGATCAGTATTATCTAAGGAAATATGCTTGTTGCAATCTTATTGGCTGACCCTACTTTTGTCCCACCTCATGCACACCTAGTAATTTCCCATGGGATCAATGTTAACTAGGTGACTATAGTCCCCCTCCCCCCAGACACCAGGGATGGAAACTCAGGACCCTGTGCTTGTGAGCACTGTGCTAAATCCCTGGCCCTAAGAGACTACACTTTTAATCTTATTAGCTAACTACAGTTTCATCCCTCTTTGAGCCCCTTGAGAAATGGGGTAGGCGGGCTACCCACCTTCCAGACCCCCTTCTGTCTCAGACAGAAGCTATCTTTGTCTCACTAAACTCTTCCTATTCTTTAGCTCTGTTATTCCTAGAATTCTTTCTTCGATTTTAGAGAACACAAACTCAGCGTTTTGGACATCTAGCAGGCTGGGAATTATATTTCCCTTATTTTATTTAGAGATCCATATATAAGCCCTACGTCAATTGTACAACTTCATTTATAAATCCAAACCAGGTAACTGAAGAGCAGGCATTTTGTAACATCTTACCAGGCACCCTGGAGTCACCACTAGAAATAACTTGGGTAACTTTGGTACAGTTCGCTAAAGATGTGCTTTTGTGGAAAAGCCCAGAATGAGAAAAAACAACAGGGTCTCAGGACTTCTTCACTAAGTTAATGTTTACCGTACCATCATTTATAGGGTAGGCAGACTCATTCAGTGCTGCTTTGAGAAGCACTGAAAAGGTGGGTGAGGGCTTCAAGGTGCGGCTGTAAAACATGGACCCTTGGCTCATTGTGTTTAGAAATCTCACTCTGCCACGGCTACAACATACAAACACCACTGAAGAAGCAATTAAACCAGCAGCTTTTCCTGATGTAATTTACTTTTATTTGTCCAACCCACACAATTGGTTCTTTAAAGCCCATCTCTTAGAAATGTCCCTCTGAGTCGGGTGATGTTTTCCAGGTTCTTAGACTTGAGGAGAGAAGTACCGCTCCCCAATGCCATAGCAACACCACCCGCCTCGGGCCTCTCACCATTCACTCCTTCCCTCCAGCTCTGCAACAAAGTTCAGCATTTAGAAATGGAATGAAGGCCAAGCTTTCTCTCCTCTAAGCATAATGGAGACCCCGCTGTCATTGATTCCTTTAACACACACTTTATGGATCACCTACTGCAAGATGGGTATGGCTACGAACAAGACACCGAGGTTCTGGTCCTAAAGGAGAGGCACAGAAAATAAAGAAGCAGATAAATCCATTCAGAGTGCTCACTGGGTTTTAAAAGCCTCAAAGTGGTGGTATAATAGTGAGCGGTGAGGGGTCTGAGTACACTGGGTTAGGTGGTATAGTCGGAAAAAGAACCCAATCTCTAAAACATCTCGGAAACATGAAATGGGACATGACCAATGCAAAGGAGCAGGCATACCAAGAGCTGGGGACAAATGTTATGCAGGAGATCCAGCAAATGTGAAGGCTGTCACGTGGGTAAGAGCATGCTAGAAAGATGGGCACTGCTGAAAGAATGGTGCAGAAGGCAGCAAACTAGAAAGAGAAGCCATGATTCCTCTTGGATTCCAAATAGACCCTCAGAGGAAGCTCCTTTTGTTCCAAACCCCATCTCTTGAAATCAAATGCTAACCAATAACGGAGCCCTCCAGTGCTTCTTGACATGCATTTGTTCATGAATTAATTCCCCGAGAGTGCTTTTAGTTTAATGTTATAAATATATCTGAATAGTTTCAAGAATGCCTTCTATGAGTAAAAAACTCATTTGGGAGAGATGTAATTTTCATAGAAGATAAGGGCTTACTACATATATTTTATGAAATGTCTGCAACCCCCACTCCTGCTTCCTAACTTCTTCCTGACCCTTGAGGTTCTGCCCATATTTTGCAAATAGCTTAGTTAGAATTTATTATAAGGCAGTTGGGACAAGGCTGGGCCTTCAGCATAGAAAACAAATGAGGCACATTCACTGGTTACCATTATAAAAAGAGAGAACTACTGCACCCATCCACTTCCCCTGAGAATGAATAGCAATGACTGATATTCTAAATGGACATGCATCACCTTAATTTGGGATCAAAACATCTCTAGCTAGCCCATTCCTTCAGAAAATTCATGTATGCTTGCTCTGTGACTTGCTCCCCCATTTGATCTCCATTTAATCAGTATGACCTGGGAAATTAAAATTGTAATATTATTGGTTGATTGTGGTTTTGCCCCACCGTGTGATTTTTCACTGGATCTTATAATTTTGTTCCACTTTGTACTCATAAAACATTTTTTGGTCCCCCTTCTGTCTCTTAGAATGAAGCTATCTTTCTCTCAATAAATGCTTCCAGTGTGATACGTAGGGGATTCTGTCTCTGAATGAAGCTATCTTTCTCTCAATAAATGCTTCCTACTCTTAACCGCCACTGTTCCTAGAATTTATTCTCTGATTTTACAGAACGTGAATTTGTGTTTTAGGTATCTAGCAGATTCGGAGTGTAATATTTTCCTTGTTTAAATTATTTTGCTTATTTGGATTACTTAGTGCCCGATATCACACATGCATTGTCCTACTCTTCTGTGCTAATCCGATCTTCCCTCCAATCCTTCAGTTTTCTAGGCTCAGCTCTGGACTTAGATCCTCCCCAAAAGCCTTCTTCATCTGACTTGTCTTTTCCTCCTCCCTCAACTTAGGAAACACACACACACACACACACACACACACACACACCACAATGTGTTCTACACAATCTAACTCCTACTCACTGAATTCTGCTTACCTGCTACTGACTCCTGTCTGTTGGTGAATCTCAGCTATGAGTTCTGTCTCCTTGACTGACTTAAATTTAAGTCTCACCTAGGATTAGAAGCATTAGGTTGACCACACACCAGAAATGAAAGCATACTTTCAACTTCATTTCCAGGTTCAAAACTGCTAATATGCTTTCTGCTCTGACCTCTTCAGAAATACCAGCCAGCTAATGCTTGGTTAATGGAAATAATAATAAAAAAAAGTACTGCAGATTTCCGAAATACCTTTTTTTTTTTTTAAAGAGTCTCCTTCTGGTCAGAGTGTTGGCTTCTCCTCACCAAATATTTTAATTTAACACAAAGTAGCTTTGACAGGTTTCCATTTCATTTTCTTTTGAAAACCTGCTCCAACCACCTGCAGTATCGATTGTGACAGGGTGTAATGTCAGAATGGCCAAGAGGTGCGCAGGCGGAGGAAATGCACAGGAAATGGGTAACCCACAGATGAGATAACTGTCCTGGAATGGAGGGTGCTGCCTGAAACTACTCATGGAAATTGAAAACCTGTTGTCTATGGAGAACATGTGTGTTAACAGTGGAGCAACTAGTTTTCTTTTTCCCACCTCTACTTTTGTTGAATCTGATTTTATCATTAAATAGTCTGCTTTTTTTTTCTTTTGTTTGCTTGCTTTCTTTACTTCATTTTTATATCCATGATCATGGGCATTAGTGGAAGGAAAGGGAGATAGAAAATGATGCATTCATTTAGATAATCTAATATAGCAGGTGGCCACAACATCAAAGGGAAAAAAAATTAATCAAAGCCTACAGTATTTCTTGCAAATGAGTAAGAATTTTATGTGGTCTAGACTTCCAACTGTGTTTCTGAGAGAGTTGCTTCATATACCTAAGACATTCAGAAGCAAAGAATGGACAAAGGCCGATGTCACTCAATACCGACCGAAGATGAGAATTAGTTCATTATGTATTTAACTGCCTGATTATAAGTGACTTTAAATGAGGCCCTATTTATTTGCCAGGAACCCATAGCATAGCAGCAACCAAGGGCAAAAGAAACATTTATCAACTATGATTCCCTCACAGTTATAGTCAACCTCATGGAGGAGATCTCTGCTGGACCTCCAACTAGAGATAAGTATCTGCATTTGTACTGCACATGCAGCCCGTGGCCTGCCACAAGGGCTAGTTAGAAACCTCTAATGTATTGAAAATGAAGAAGACTATGTATGTGCACAATACATGCAAGGTAAGTGCTTACAGCAAACATATATAGCAAATGCACCTTTAGTCTCCCGATGGCATATGATAAGATGGCTATTTAGAAAGAACACTGTACACAAAAAGCCAAAAATATCTTGCAAGAGCAATGGTTACCACCCAGGTCTCCCACTTTCTTATCCATAAAGGTTTGATCCCTTTTACAAATGCAATTTTAAAGAGATTGTTGTGTGAATTCAAGAAATGGCCTTTTCCACTCAAGGGTGAGTATGTCTGCTTATATAACACTGTGGGTATGTCCACAGCTCTTGTGTTTTTATGACACATCACAGTGTTTGATGAGTGAAATGGTGGTTTATATCCAAAAAACCCACTTTAGGTATGTTTTCACTGGCATTTTCTTTGGTCTAAGGGCAGCAGCAAGTGTAACAT